AATGGTATCTGAGAGCTGACAGGTATCTCCCTAAAGTGACTGGGTACAACTTATCAGTAGGGAAAAGCTGATACAACTTTCTACTTGGGAGTAGTGACTGATAGTTTTGAAAGATGAGTAGTTTGAGCAACCTCTGCGTTCTGTCATCCTCTTTTATATCATGATGAGGACTCAAGGAAGTATAAGAGAATATTACTGAAAGGAGGCATGAGGTCATAATTATAAGGTTTATCTTCAGTTTAATTACACTTTTAATGTGCAAGGCAGAATATTAAAGCTTTATGAATGCAGCTAAGTCTGTTCCAGTAATGACTCTTCAAACATTTTTGAGATAATTTAAAAATTCATACTGCTGTGCTAGGTCATTGTGATCATTAAAAAACTTCCTCACAGTTTGTTCCATTATACTCTTTCATACAAACAGGCAGCAAGATCACAGGCACTACTTCCTGTGAATATGTATCAATTAATGTCCAATTAAGACAACTGCTGCGTGTTCCTTTTCAATCAGGAGGAGGAAAAGCAGCAAAAAACAAATCCACAAAAGGTCATTTGAATTCACCGACTCCCTGTAGTAAGTATTAGCATGCTGCTCTGCTAGCCTGACTGCTTTAAATGAAACTAAAAGTTGCTGCTCTGGAGAAGAAAAATCCAGTTTTCTTCTTTCTTTCTTGCATTTTCCACTCTGCTTCTTTCCTCTAAAATAACTCCTTTTCCACAGTCTGGAATTGTTACTAAGAAGTATTGCTGACATGTCCTGTGATCCAAACCAGCAGTGTAGTCATTCTCACTTTATCTTTTCCTGCAACTTTGTAACTCAATATTTTGTTTAAAAGTCTGTGGGTTTGATTTCTTTGCTCTTCTTGCTATTCTTTTTTCTGTGTGCAGATTTAGTCAAAGTAATATTGTGGAAACATTCAAGATGAATGGCTGGTACATTTTCTTTGTTAAAAGGTCATACAATGACACTCAAAGGATTTCCAGATTTATGCAACACAATAAAAAATTAAAAATCCGTTAATATATACTTTTGATTTCCAGATATAAAGTCTGTTGGATGTTTTTCTGCATACTGGGATATTTGGTTACTGTACATTTAGTAAAGCATTAGAGAAAGTGAATTCCTATTTCAAAACTCTGTTTGACTTTTCTCAAGCAAATTTCTTCATGGTCATTATAGCTCATTATCATATTTCACTTCTTAAATAATATAAAATATGTGGGATTCATGATTTAATTGCCACAGTAAATACAATAAATCATTTTAGGTGTGTTACAGGATCCCTACTGGGATTACAATATAAAGAATGTGTGGTATTACACAATATGACAGGCAAACTTCATTTGAGCATATATTCATACAACAGTGCTTTCTAGAAACTAGTGTTAAAGTGAGCATTGCCTACACAAGAGCAAAAAGACACATTTCTCCTGAGTGTACTAAGCAGCCTTGACTACGCCCTGACCATGTTAAATTTCTGATCTTCAAAAAACAAATGTATGTAAACATAGAATTTACTGTAAATGTAAAAAGTAAATATACATTTATTCGTGCAATAGCACAAGATTAAGTATTCCCTTTCTTCATCTTCCATCTGTTTCCATTGCCATGGAAAACTTGTGGTGAGAAATGTTTCCACCCAGACATTTAAAATCACATGAAGTTAGTTTCGAATGCAACTGTGAATTAAATTTAGGGGACTAGAAGATGGCAGAGTTGGAGATGCTTTAACAGGTAGGTATTGTCTTACTTATCAGCACTTCCAACTCTGCTTGGGATATTAAAGAGGAGTTGGGTTCTTTGCATCTTTCGCACCGGCCGTAGGAAGGATTCTGCAAACCAAATTAAATATTTAACAACAATTGCACATCATTGCTATCCTCTGCGTGTGTGGTGCAGGTACAACTGATCAGGACATAACAGGCAATTCTGCTGTATGTACATAAAGGAATATAATCTTGTTTGTCCCTTTAGGTGTATTGGCTTTTGGAGGTGAGAAGGGATGAAAGACTAAAATCTGGGGTTTTAATCACTCAGAGAAAATACAGAGCATCACAACACATTAGGATCACATCTATTCACATCATTAAAAATCTACATTTAACATAATTTTGCAGATTGCATTACCATTAAAAATTCAGTGGAAGGCAAATCTGCATTTATTATAATGTACAGGAAACAGAAATGTCTTCAGTTGAAAGTAGGCTAGACTAAACACTTCATTTGTGATAGCAAACAACTGCTCTCACCCAGAGTAATGGGCTGGATCTCTTAAGAAGTCTTTCCCTGGAGCTTCTAATTTAGTAGGCCAATTTTGAAAATAAAAATAAGTCAGAGGAACAGAGGCATTACTGATGACTAGAAGAATAAGTAAGGCATTTACGTACCTGAGACATCCAAGCTCCAATTGTAGATGTTCCAGTGATAATTAATCTTACATCCCCAATTTGACTTTCATAATTTACTTATAAGAGTAATAATATTTATCTACCTAATATAGCAGTGCTGCAGAGATTAATTAGAGGATGCTTGCATGTACTGGAGTGCTAGGATTGTAAGATTTATCATACTAACATCCCTAGAAGCATAAGATATAAGACAATTAAAAATTTTAAAAATAATTTGAATGAGGATGGTAAGAAAAAAATATACCCTATATGTAGAAGAAAAAGATATATTTTTTTTGCTTTTAGTAACAAAAACTATTCTCATTTATACTCTGACATCCATATCAATTCAAAAGCTTTATATTTCTGCCGTGAGTTTAGTTCAGATAGGTTGCTTAAAATTTACAATTTATTTCACAGAATTGTAGAGGGGTCAAATGATTTGCATGAAGGTATGTAAAAAGTTCGCTGCCTAGCCAAGAGTTAGGATTAGTACCTTGACACTTCATTTGTTCAAACTGTAAATTGTAATGAATCTCCAGCTTGCTTCATCCAAATGGCTACAAATCAATTTGCTAAGGTTTTAAAAGTCAGGCCTTTTAGTACCAATTGTGATGGTAATATTCATCCTACAGAACACTTGCAACTATTGTTTGTTCTACTAATTTGCAAATAAAGAATGTAAAGCAACCAAAAGTAAGCTCCAAGCACCTGCAACTCGTATATCAAGAAGTAAACTGATCTTTGGCAGGTTATCATCAAAAGAACTTTAACTTGACCTCAGGGAGACAATCCCACTGAAATTTAGCAATGAACAATGAATGCAGGCAGTCAAACATAACTAACAGTGCATTTACAGCAAAACCAAGTCATGCTTTACTAAAATGGCTTATCCAACCTTCAAAGTACACAGCATTTATTTCGTTTGTGGTTTACTACTATTTTCACCTGAGTTTATCAAGTGAAAAGTCACTAAAAGTGAACTAACAAAGTGAATAATAAAAGTAATTGGGGACAGAGAAGGATAAAAGGGAGGAATGTGAAATTTAATGTTAACATGAGTAGCTAGTATAAAATTTAGAAATTGCTCTGATGTAAAAATTTGGGAATATTAAAAACCACTACATTATTGTGAAATGTAAAGTTCCAATTCCTCTACAGTTCTCTCCAATTCTCTACATGTAGAGAAGCTACTTTTCTCTAACTTCCTTCAGTTTTATGCAGTTGCGGTCTCAGACAGACAATGGAAGAGCTTAATTTGTCTTCGATATATTACGCTAATGCAATATCACGTGTTCTCTTGACTGCTATATTTGCTTAGATTTAAAGTACTATTAAGTTTTTATATACATGTCTGTCTTATTGCTGCTTGCTTTAATTCAATTATTTTTATCAAGTGAACACTCTTCAAAGACTTAAAGTCTAGGAACCTTATAAACACTTGTGTAATCTGTACCCTGCTGGGACTGGCAATGGTAATTTGTCAGTTTTATTTGCAGCAGGCTGTAACTAAACCTTGCCAAACATAAATCATCTTTTTGTACTGCTGTTTCAGTTGCAAATGAATCACATTTCTTAACTTAACACTCATATAAAGAAAGCTAGAAGGTTCCAGGAAAATTTAGAAAACCCTAGAGTCACCTACTGCAAGGCTTATTATGCTGTTTAGCAACTGTTTAAGATAATAGTGAGCAAACAGAGTGAATGGTCTCCGTAGGCAAGTTTGGAGTGCAATCAGAATGTGTGATTGCAACAGAAAAGCACACTGAAGCCTCAATCTTGTCAACTTAAGCACCACCTGCAGTGACAATGGTGAAACATGGGTGACAACACAGACTAAGTACATTTAGGAGTATGAGTGTTTAAATGGGAGAGTACTCTTTGCTAAAGACTATTCCCAATAGGCCACCCTGGTTTTTTTTTTTTGTTTTGTTTTGTTTTTTTTTTTATGTTTTGTTTTTTTTCAAATGAGACAATAAGAAATGTCCTGCTAGGACAGAAACTTACTGTGTCTAGTGGCGATAGAAGATATTTTCTAGGAAAAGCATGCACACCCAGATACTTTCTGTAGTCAGTACCATAAAATAATGGTTGCTGTCCAAACTCAGATGACTAAAATGTATACAGGATCCCATATCCATGTCTTATTATAACAGCTCACTACCCATCAAAACATGGAGCACAAAAATCTATTCCATATCAGCATCTTCCTGAGATGCAAGTTGGTGTATCCCAAATGAGTCCATGCAGGTATTTCTATAACAGCAGTAGATATTTTCATTGTAATTTTCCATCACATAATGGACATTGCTCATTTTTGACTACTTTATTACCAAATCTTGGTACAGCACTGTGTCATGCAAACAGGTAACAATATAAAGAACACTAAAACCATATAGTATTGATATAAACAGAGTTATTAATCATTCCTCAGACAGCACTGACAACATTTTGAGCATACACAAAGCCTGTAAAGGAAGAACTGTAAAACACCTTTTCTAAGTTGTTAGTACAGTTGATTATTTCACTTATAATCCAACTGCTGTCACTGCAGAACCAAAGATTCCTTTAGCCTTGACTGGCCCATTTCTGTGTGCTCTGGATTCCCTTACCTTGTGTGAGCTAGAGCTTTACTAAGAGTCCTCAGCTCCTTTCCTGTTTCTCTAAATGGGTAGAGCCTCTTCACTGGTTCCAGTGGATCAGACTGGAAGTGATCAAACTGAAAATAAATATTATGTTATTAAGAAGAGTTTAGCATAAAGAAGGTATGTGCAGTCTCAGGGTTCAGTTTTAACTACCAAATATTTCCAGAGATGGTCATCATCTGGGACAGCACTATCATTTCACAAGCATGTAAACAAGTTTTGTATGACATTGCTGTGCGTGCCCATGTGTACATGTGTTCCAACAGCTTTTAACTCATTAGCTGACTTCAAGTTTGGCAGAGATCTTACAGGCAGTTAAGCACCCATGAACTGAATTAAACTTTGAGACAGGAAGAAAAGATTGTTCAATGGCCTAGACGTAAGGAATGACTGCGATGAGTGCTTATACATTAGCAAACTACAAAAAGCATGCATGGGGGAGAAATCTTTTAGAAGTCCCAACCCAGAAACAATTTCAGACTCAAAACAAGGAGGTTGACATTTGTAAAGAACAAAACAATACAGAAAGCTCTGCAGACATAGCTGGTTTTGGAGCATAGAACATAATGGTTTTATTATTTTTTCGCTTTTACTTTTTAAGAGTATACAAACCAGGTCAACAATTTTACATAAGGGAATTAAAATCACCTACTTAGTACATTTTTCAAAATGCCTGCAACATTTTTATATTCTGAGCAACTATGGAACTGAAATACACGGGAGATGAAAGCTTACATTTGTTGTTGAACTAGACCTGGCTTAGAAGTACCCTTGGGGTTTCCAGAGAACAGCCACATCAATTTCATAGAATTCTGATTGCATGCTGTGCACATGCAGTGGTTTTGTATGCTTTAGGTAATAAAATATGCAGCTGAGGCAGTGTTCAATGTGCAAAAAGTGCATGGCTAGATTGCTATCCATTGGGAGGTATAATGCTAGTGTGCAGAGACTGAGGTGCAGCCTAAGGTATTTCTCCAGGCAGTTCTGTACATTTCATAAGTGTCCTAAGGTGTCCAGAAAAATAAATTCCCAGTAAAGGAAATAAAGCTGATCCTATATTATTCACCTGGCCAAGTAAGCAACAGGATATTGCAGATCTCAGTTGGATCTGTAGAGAAAAACGCTCACCTCCTCAAGAGAGGTTGCAACTCTTATTTCAAATCTTTATGCACATCTGAGTGTATTGATTTTGATTGCGGAAACAATTGGTGCTCTGTATGGACAACAACTTCTATGATAAGGTTGAGCTGCATACTTTACCTTTTCTTTGTGTTTTGTTTTTTTTTTTTTTAACTTTGAGAACATTCTGGAAAGTGCAAACGATATAAAAGGCTTCTTTTTAATGAGATAAAAATAATAATTGTAAATGAGAACTGAAAAGAAAAAAAAAACGATAAATTTATGAGTTGGTGGAATGTTTCTGGTATTCAAGCCAGAGTGCTTCTTCCAGGAAAACAGCTGGCACAGCTGCACCTTTTAGCAGGACTTCCATGGCACATCTTACTTTTCAACTTTGTTAGCTTCCAACAAATCTGACTGAGTTAGATAAAAAAGAAAATTAAATATTGTTTTGTGATAGGTGAGATACTATTGAATGCTAAACTCAGGCTAACACGTGTGCTTTCTTTCTTAAAGAAAAACTAAAAAAATAATTTAAAAAAATCATTAGTATTAGTTGTCAGCTTTCATATAATTGTAAATGTGCCATTCTTTCTCTTTTGTTTACATTTTATTCTTCTCTTTTATAAAAAACATAATATGAGCAAATCACCTGCCTGAAAATTAGTTTTGTTCTAAAGAGAAAGGAGATGCATCAGATTTTAAATAAGCTAACAAAGACAACTTCTGATGAAAAACAAAATATTTTTTCTGGATTGGCAAATAAAATTCAGGTAAATAGTTAAATGCATACAGAGAAATGAAAAGGTATTTTAATCCTAACATTTTATTTACATATTACAAGGCTTGAATTTCTTAGGGATAGATAACCACTGTAACTCTGTGTTGCTGTATGACAGACCTAAGTACACACCAAATAGAACATACACTTGGGTGGTTCTGGACGAACTGGAACAGGCTCACCCTGGTAACTACTCTGTGCTGTCCAAAAAGTGGCATTTAAGTAAAATTATCTCCAGGACTTTCAATATTTAAAATTGTAGGTTAGGGTCACACCAGGAAAAGACTGAATTAGTAGGTATAGGCTAGATCTTCAACAACTGTTAGTTTCTGCAGCTCTACATAACACCCAAAAGAACAGCCCTTTCAGCTTCAGGTTTCTGAGATCTGAGGATGTGCAATATTGACCTCTGTACTTCAATAAAAATATAAATTTTTGAACTGAAAAGTATTTTTGAATGTATTAGTCATTTCTGTGCTAAACTGTAATATAGTTTAAAGGTCAGTCTTCTAGAATTGACACATGGAATAACACAGCTAAACTGAATTTCCAGAACACTGCTTTTACCAAATTCCAACAGAACCCTACCTTTCACTCATAAGTGATTTTTGCTGATACATTCATGAGGAGTTTTACTAGATAAAACCTATGAAATGTTCATCAGTCAGCAAAAGGCTAGTTCCTTATGTACAGTAAGGCTTTAAAACTTGAATTCAGCAAACATATCTATAGAAATAATTAAAACATGTTGTGTGACTGTTGCTGCCTTTAACTTCATTTTGAATCAAAACTTCACCAGTAGTCTTACCTCTAGATTGAAAGAGTACTTGTTAGTAGTAACCTCAGCCACTTCTTTGGGTGGTTTTTCCTGTACATCTTTTTTCACTGGTTCCTAAGAAATGAACAAAACCATGTAACCATATTTGAAAGACTGCTAGTTACCCATAATATAGCAGGTCATAATTTTCAAAATTAGATGGTACAAATAAATTTTTCTACAGACATGCAAATGAAAGCAAAAATAATGGCTTTTCTATTGTAAAAAACCTCGAAATGTCACTAAGTAACTATGGTGCACAAATAGATTCTCATATGAAGTACCTGCTGACAAGCTACTGTGCAAACGCATACATGCTTTCTAAATTACTATGCTTAAATGCTTAGAAAATTTTACTTTTCTCTTGGAAGACTGTTATATAGACTACTGTGCCTAATGTAAAAAGAAAATCCAATTTCCAGAACCAGGAATAGAAAATTACTTACCTGTAATTGCTCTTCCCTGAAGATACATGCTGTGATAGACCACTACTCTTGGGTCTGTGCTTTCACCCACAAGGAAGGCACAGCCTCATAAAAAGCCCCGAAGTCAAACACAAACTCACTTTCAGAACTCCTTCAACCATCAGTTTATTCAAGTGGAAGGAAGACATATTAAAAAAAAATGTATATGTAGATTAACGAAAGACTTTAGATCACTCAGCAGTGTATGGTGATCAGGCTAAAAGGATATGAAAACACTAATTCCTTTCTGCACTAGTTTCAGATCAAAGAGCTCATTTATTGGTTCCCAGCAAAACAAAGCAAAACTGGAGGCCCTAGCAAGTTTCACCCATATAGTCAGGGTAGAGCCAATGTACAAAAAAGGCTGCACAGGAGACTCAGAGCTGCAGATGAAATACTTTCTATGCTGTATAGCTTTTGCACAACAGAGCAAAGATTCAAGTATCTAAAAAAAAACAACTTAAGAGCAGAGCATTTTGTTTGTAGGAATCTTGACCTGAGAAGGCACAAAATTCTTTCCAAATTTATGTTCCTATGTAACATTTCAGCAGAACAAAGGTTCAAAGTGTAAGGAACAGTATCTACGCTCACTGAAGAACTGCAAACACCAATGTTCTAATATAACGACTGAGGCAGCCCACAAACAAGTGGAAAACTAGGGGGCGGTGGGAAGCAAACCCAAACCCAGAAATGGTACTAAGAGCAAAGTAGCTGGAATGGAAAGAAGATTTTCTGCAGCCAGAGTATAAGGATGAACTAATGAAATGTCAAAGGGAAGACTGAAGGCGGCACTGTTTCATGCAATTGGGGTGCACTTGGCCAAGCCTGGTCAGCAGCAGAGACAGGTGGCAAAGTGACACTGCTCAGGAGCACAAGTCTTACAGAGGGCAGCCAAGGAACCTGAGAGCCTGCCTCAGCGACTGAGAAAACCTCATTCATGTACTGAACAAGAGAGGAGTCATTTTACAGCCTGCCTGGGCATCCATGCTTCACCTGTAGGAAATGCTAATCAGAGGAGGTTACTGGGGATTGCATTCAGTAGGGAGAGTCTGTTACACCGAACTTCAGGGAAAATGAAAATTAAGTATTTGTCATTACATAAATTGAATCATCAATATTTGGTATATTTTTACCAGAGATCAGATATTTATTTTAACAAGTTGTAGAAAGAAGTAGATTCTGAATACTAAATGTCTTTATATGTAAAATGAGTTGCCAAACAAAACCCTTTAAGAAAAAAAAAAAAATTCCAGCATAAGAAGTCTAAAGTATTTGTAACTACATTCCTTTTTGTTCATGAACACAAATGATCTATCCAGAACATAAATAATACTAAAAAACAAATAATTATTTATTCCCTCTGATTTACCCTTCAAATTTCAGAGTACTCTTAAAGGTAGAAAGGTGCCAGATGGATGGAACAGAAGACTTTGTAGGCGAAACATCTTCAGAGAAGCTGATTCAGAAACAGTTTGGTTTTAAAATTGGAGAAGTTTTCATATTTTGGGCAATATTTAATTTATATCAGGGCACACTTTTTTTGAGAGTACAATGAAAAATCCAAGAAATTGTAAGTATTTGTACATCCTTCAATCTTCTTTCTCCTTTTCTGTTACTATTTCCATATGGCTACCTTCTCTGCATTGCATGTCTATTTGTATCTGTAATGCTAAACACCACAGCATCATCCCATAGCACAATAAGCAACAAAACCAAAACCCATAAACTTGTGTCAGTTTTCTCATCATCCCTGCTGCAGCAGACTGACACCGGTGGGACTTTTTTTTTAAATTGCACATATCTGTAATTTAAAGAGAAAGCTCAAAGAAATCTGATTTGGACTTTGAGCAGAAGCATCTTACACTCCAGAACCAGGAAAATTTCCAGTCTGCTTTGCTCCTGACACTATTGGGGTTTCTTTCAGAAGCAGCAAAATGTTGACAACAGCCAGGTACCATTGCTTTTACAGCTGGCGATACTGTTAATTACATGATTAAAACCAATTTCAGTGTGTCTCAGAATAACTTAAAGGGAAGGAAGAGTATAGCCCTAAGGTTTCAATGGCTTGAAAAGACCAGTACACTGACCACTGCTATACTGTCTGGAGCCATTTATCTATATTCATGTCAAGTGTTTAACGCCATAGAGCACTGAAGAAAAGTTCTCAGGTGCAACATTTCCCTGCATCCTACCTCTGGCCAGCCAGCTCTGCCAGTTCACGAGGAAAGAAAAAAGAGCTGTGAGCCTACCTAACCTTTGCACAGTTGCTCAGGGACAGAGGTATCATACACACCACACAGGCACTGATAAATGTGATTCAATTAGCTTATCACAGGGAACAGAAGGGAATAGCTTCCTTTGCTATAACATTATCTTTCATTACAATGTCATATATTGAAAACATGCAATATGAGCTCAAAATGGTAACAGTACATAATTATAGAAAAGTAGAACTCCCTCTTTTTAATTTGCAGTGCAGATATAAAAAACTGAGATAAACCAATACTGGTATATCTAATTTGTTAAACTCAACAGTATATTATCATAACAGTCTGAACAATCTTTGGAGTCTGGGTGTTGCACTGGTAGTTGTTTTTTTTTAGTGTTCCCAACTTATGAAGACTTTCATCATAGTAATCTAATTTGCTTTTAAGCCATCAAAAGGCCTGTTTCAGTGATTATTTCTTCTTTCATTATAGCGATGTAACAAAATTTCATACAACTCCATGTGTAAGAAACAATTTTAAAAAACAACAAAAAAAAAATCATAAGGTAATATATACGAAACGTCATCTTAGAGTGAGATTACATGAGGAAATGACCCAAAAGTTTTCCATGAAAATTATTATGGTCGTTTTTCTTGAGATCACATCCAGCAGCTCTAAGCAAAATGAACTACAGCAATATTGCAGTAGGTGGAGCTCGATGCCACCTGATCCTCTAGCTCAGCTCCCGCAGGCTTGGGGGTGACCCCTTTCAGTGCTACCACAGGCGGCTGCTAACGCCCCCAGAAAGCCCTGGCACTCCTGCTTACTGCCTTAGCCAGCTCTTTGTCCTCTTCATCTTTAGAAAGAAAACTGGAGGATCTTAAAGTATTTCTGGATAAACAAATTCTTTTGAATAGCTTGTTTCAGTCAAGAACCACTGCCTGCAGACTCTAGATTTTATCCTAACAATTCCCAAATACTTAGACTTTATCTTTTAAATAATTCTGGAAATTAAAAATAGTTCAACTCTGACAAAACCTTTTTTGTTAAACACTCTTTCCATTTCATACACCTGTCATCTTTCCAGGTGTTATCCTGTAAGTTTTGAGAATTTCCAACATTCTTCTCCAAATCTTTTTGTGGAAATAAGTCTGAGTTGGTGGTGTATGTCAGCTATAGATGGAGAATTGAGGTACAATAAGCATGCTTTTAGGTTGTACATTTTCAAATTTTTTTGTTTAAGCTGGCTAAAGAACTCATTTCCTTTTCAATTCCTAAAGTTCTTTCATTCTGGGTAACTCATTAACTTTATATGTTATTGTCAAAAATAGCAGACTGACACACCTACTGCACTCTTCTTCCTTCTAATATATCACTCAAATAGGAGCATTATGATTACATTTGCAAATTGTGAATGTGTTTTGATGAAAATAAATCAGCATAGCCTCATCACAAGCCAACATTTAGTCATCCAAATGCAAAATCAACCTGGTGAAATATAATTTTTAATTTTACAAAAATATTTAGAAAGCTTTTGTGAAACACTACATAGAGATGACTACTGCTGTTCTGCAGGTGGGACACTAGATGTTGAATTTTAAAGCCAGTTTTCTAGCCAAGTACTCAGGATTTTTTTTTTCCCCTATTTCTTCTTTTACTGCTACTGCTCAATACTGATCCTTTCTGCCCTTTCACTAGAAAGTGGGAACATGGAACAGACATCAGGACCAAAAGAGAATTTTCAATTAAACACAAGAGACTGAGGCAAAGGACTTCACTGAGAACACATTGCAGAAAATTTAGATTTCTTTAAGAGTAATACTATTTTAGTGCTTCAGGTTAAAAAAAAAAAAAAAGACACAACTAAATCTGCAGATATAAATACACATCAGCGTCAAAGACAAGTTATCTGATTTGTTAAAGTTGTGCTGTACCATATCAATAATGCAATGCATTTTGCAGTTGAGAATCTCTGTTGCTAAGGGAAGCAACTGATAAGAGCTATTGCAGCAGCTTCTGTTCTTGGTCTCTGGTCAGAAATGGTCCTGATATCATTGGCAAGGGGCACTCATCCCACTGTTTTACCATGGGTAGTTTTAATGCGCTCCAATGAACACATTAGTGTCAATATAGACATATCAGGAAAATGGAAGGAGACAGCTGAAAAGTGGGAGAAAGGCTGTCTGCTAGTCAAGGCATGAGAATGAAATTTGGAATAAGTAGATTCAATTTCACCTCTGTCAGAGATTTCCTCTGACATTCTAAATAAAACATTTAATACCTTATCCCAGCTAACAGAAGCCCTTTTTTTTTTTTTTACTACAGTGAATTTTAGTACAAACTCTACAGCCCATTGTGCCTCTGCTCCCTGTTTCTGAAATGGGAAAAATAACACTTCTCTTTC